TTTAGACTTGATTTAAATGTATTGTAAAAAGTAGAAGGTAAATTTATATAAAATAAAAGAAAAAAATTAATGAAAATTACTTAATAGCCAGCTTTTTATTTAAAACAATTTTATTTTAATCATATTATAGAAACATTAGACTTTCAAAGAAAAGAATTAAATAATGCAACGATCATATACTTTACAAATTCTTTCCAAAACATCTAATATATGCAAATACATTCGTTTAGAATTCTATATTCGCAACACGCTATATACCAGTGGTTCCCAACTTATTTTTGATCGTGCCTAACCTCCTAAGTATCTTTTAAAATTCTGACGCCTAATTCACCTTACCCGAGGCATATATTACTTATTATTATAAAATAGAATGCCTATTCACGTCTACAAATCCCAAAAGACTATTAACTAAGTCTAAGCAAACTTCCAAAGAACATGACATTCATAAATGAGAAAAAGAACAGTAGTTGAAAGCAAAAAATTCAATGCCGCCATGTTGATCACATGTGATCACAGATGATTGTTTGTTTGTGACAACACGCTGATCATTAGTGACAGAAATGCATTAATCACTTATAATTGTAACAATTAAATGATCATCATCATTAATTATTATTGAATTTGGAACATTATAGCTAATTAGAGAATATTTCGAAATCAAAAATGCGCTATTCAATAATTACAGGTTTTATAATTAAAACATTATACATTTTATTATAAAAAATAGTTTTGCTATTTCGTTTTTACTTGAAACTAGAATCTTTTTTTATCATACTTAATCTATCATATATAGCATTTAATTTTTTTATGTTTAAACATCGTGTGTATGACTTTATTGCATAAGTGCATTTATTTGTAAAAGTTAAAAGAAATAATTTGTATGAAATGTTCCATGCAACAATGTATTGTGTTAAAATATTTCAAGCAAAAATGAAACTGACCAACATGTAATACGTTTTTTTGATCGAATTCTAAACAATACTTGTAAATAAATATTCCAAAAATGTTATCAAGTGCAATCGAATGCACTGAAATGGTCACCTATGACTTCCAACAAGATTAAAACTCTATGAATAATAAAATGTAATCTTATATTATTATCATATTTATTATTATTTTATCACATATACTTAAAACAATGAAAATACTTTCGTGACGCTTATATAAAACAAAACATGTGAATTTGAAATAGCGGTCAAAGTTTCGAATTGTCCGATTTTAAATATCAAACTGTCCCCCTGTCGGACAAATTGAGAACTACGACTGTATATATTAATATCAATAATATCGTATAATCGGCGAGAACCTTTCAATCGATTCCATCAATTTCCATCGATCAAAAGAAGAAGAAAAAATAAACAAAATACACGAATCGTATCGATTCAATTTGCAAGATGATAAAAAAAAAACTAAATCGCAAATGAAGAAGAAGAGGAAGGAAGGAAGGAAGGACAAAAAATTTGATTTCTCGTAAATATTTTCACGATTTTTGTAATTGGATACTATCAAGCGGAAGTAAGGAAAGCACGAAGAGGACAAAATGTGGCGCATATAATAGAAAACGGCGTCATGCTGAAAGAATCGCACGGTTTGCAAAAGAAGGAAGAAAATAAATAAAGAAAGAAAGAAAGAAAGAAAGAAAGAATGAAAAAACGAGAGAAAGAGAAAGAGAGAAAGAGAGAGGATAGACCGACAGGTAAGGTAGTTGAAGGGTAGGGACAAATATCATTGGCAAAGTAGGGTGGGGGAAGGGGGGGTAGAAAACGAGTAGCAAAGTTCAGGCATTGGCGATCGGTTGGAAAAGAAGGGGCAAAAAGGAATACAGTACGGAGGGAATGGTGGTGGTGGTGGTGATGGTGATGGTGGTGGGGGTAGAGTTAAAAGGTGCGCCTTCTCTAAGGAGACCGAGAAAAAAAGTGAGACGGACGGAGGTAGTAAGGTAAAAAAAAAAAAAAACAGAAAAGGAGAAAAAAACAACAGAAAAAGAGAAACACAGAAAGATAGGGGAGAGGATGAGAGGGGAGGGGGCGAAGGAAAGCCATACGGACGAGAAAATTTCCATGACGTAGCCTATACAACGACGACGTAGTAGTATAGTCGTGTGTGTATATATATATACTTAGTTCGTCCTACGTATGTATTACACACATAACATACGTATAAAACATACGTAAGCCAAGTATCGAATAGCCATGAAAGTTCATGTCGGTTAAAACGAACAATATTCTAAATAATAATAATAATAATAATAATAACATTTTGTTAAAAATTGGATAATAATATTTTGGATAATCTAAATAATTAAAAATTAACGAAACCCTATCGCGATACTCGAAAACTTTTTTTGTACAAATTTGAATAAACAACGATGTATTTTATATACATATTTCAAAGTATTCATCGTCATCAATATTCCGTGTAACAATTCAATAATCTTATTTGCAATTATAAATACAAAATGTTAAGTGTAAGTAAGTAAGTAAGTTAAATTTTGTCATTGGGTTACATTACTTTACATACGCAATAACACGTCATCGGTTATGCGAAACGATCTCTCTTAAACGTTGGGCCCTAAACTCTGTCTCTCTGTCTCTCTCTCTCTTTCTCTCTCTCAATCTAACTCTTTGCTTCGGATTCGGTCAAACCGGTTCTAAAATAACTACCTACTTGATTCGAAAGAAAAAAAAAGTAAAGAAAAATGTAATCCTGAGACAGTCGCGAGGTACTCGAGAAAATGGCAAACGACCGAGAGATTGTTGCTAAAGGCAAAGGCTACCAGTCTTCTTCTTCTTCTTCTTCTTCTCGACTATTTCTATCATATGTACGCGCGCTCACGCTCACACACAAACACACACTTATACATACATATCTTTCCTACTTTCACCAAAAGCTAATCCTGCGATCGTGAAATGAAATTCTTGTTCTGATTATTTTCATTTTTATGTATGCATGTATATTTCTGGATGATGACGTAAACGTCATGTTGCTTCCACGTGTTCAATGTACTGTACTTCTTACGAAGATGACGAATAATCTCGTTCTGTTTATTAACATATCAAATATCAATAATAATAGTCTCAACTTGGACTATCTTTGCTCGGTCATGGTCCAACACAATCTGTAAATCTGATTTATCGATAAATCGGATCGAATCAAGGTTAATACAAAAAAAAAAAAAACATTTTGTAATTTCAATATGACAAGATTTTTAAAAGAAAAAAAAAAGTAGTGAAATATCCGCTTATCTGATATTACGAATCATTTTATTTCCAGGAAGAATCACAAACCACAAGGAAATTGCGATAAATAGCCTAACCAAAAAAAAAAAAAAAAGCAGGATAAATACTTTTCAAACGATCCTTGGTTGAAAAGGGTGCTTAAGATGGAGGGAGAGAAATAATAAGGAGGGAGGGGGGAAGCAAGGGGAAAAAAAAATAGATTATTTCTTATCTAGTAGAGATTTGATCGTCAGTGATAAAGAATGTGATAAAGTGATAAAGAAATGCAAAAAAAAAATTTTAAAAAAATTAATTTACACGCGCGCACAATAAAAATTGTATTGATCGATTACGTAGACTCATGCGATAGATAAATGCGAGATAATAATTGCGTGACGAATCGTAATATCGATGTTCATTCTTGACGTGTGATCCATCTGTTCTTAATTATTAGAAATAAAAACATTTAGTTAATTCGTACGTTAATGATATACATATGTATCGATAACAGTTTTTATTCGAATGCAATAACAAATAAGGTGTGGGGGTAACCTTGAGAATAATTTAATAATAATATAGATCAATTATTTACAATTTTGTAAGAATTGCAAGAGGCACCTCCTATATCATCGAGACGTGATTTGTATCAATTAATCGAAATTTATTTTGCATTTATTGATGAAATAAAATTTGTGTCAAATGGATGAGACACCACTCCAATACAAAAAAGAAATTACGAGAGAAAGAATTGCGCAAAAATGTCAATTCGTGTTTGCGAAATTGACTGTTAAACGAGTCTTCTTATCGGTTAAATCGTCAACTAGGTTTAGTGTCCTAAGAGGAAAATACGCACAATCGTTTTACCACTTTCCTCAAATTTCTTTCTATGAAATTCAAAACTCCTGACATATCGTATCGTTTTCCATAAATTAACATTTCTAAATTTTTAATTTATACGAAAGAAAAAAAAACGAAAAAAAAAGAAATGAGAGAGAGAGAAATTTATTCTTCATGAATTATTAAATCTTTTACAAGTTTCTATCATTTTCAGATGGTAGCTTGGTGTTGTTTAAATCATCAAAGTGTGAAAAAAAAATTAACAACGTATACATTAAACGAATCTCTTTTAAAAAGAGAAATCATTTTGATCGGATGAGTAAAATATAATTAAATTCTATACGTCTATATATATATTACGAAATAAAATGATATACTTATTATTATTAGTTAGAAACTAGTATGTGCGCTGGCGCAAAAAAAAAAAAAAAGAAAGAGAGAGAAAGAAAAAAAATTCAGCACAGACTATTTCTTTGAACAGCGTTATAACGACGAATGCTCAAAAAAAAAAAAAGAAAAAGATAACGGTAAATATACACCTTATTCTCCGTAATACTTTATTTATTCAATGAGAAATATTATCTCTTTTATTATATTTACCTACAAACGAATTTCAAATATCTCCAAAAGGTAATTTTATTTTACTTTAGAGTTCATTTTTGACCGCACAAAATATTTATTAAGCGTACAATGTTCTCGTTCCCCTCCCCTTTTTTTCAAAAATTAAAATTGCCTTTTGGTTACGCAACGTTATTCACAAAAGTTCAAAAGAACTAGCGCACGAGAGTCTCCGCCGACTAAATTTAGTAGCACGGGAATGCGGAAGTGGGCCAAAATACTATAGCTTTGATAAAGTAATAATTTATTATTATAATTTATATCGTTAAATAAAATCATAATAATAACAATAATAATAAGAATAATAATAATAATATTTAAACTCACCTGAAAGTTGCCCCCATGGACAAGTGGTGCGCTTTGATTTTGCATCTTGTGCGACATCTTCTCGAAAACGTACGGAACACACTCCGTATGTGTATATATATATATATATCTATATATAACTTGGACTATTCAAACTTGTCTCTCTGAATGAATAAATATCTCTGGACAGAGGATACACACTCTTAAATACGTCTAATCTGTATTTGTATACGCGCCTGTGTGTATGTATATGTGTGTGCAAATATTTCTGTTTTCTGATCGGCAGAGAAACTCAATGCTTCCAATGTCTCCTCCTCCTTCTCTTTCAATTTCTCTTCTCGAACTTAATCAAAGTCCGATCTTTTGTTTTTGTTTTTTTTTTCAAATTCGCTCACTTTCAAAGTTTCCTTCCCTTTTTTTTTCTTTTCTCACTTCTTTCAATAGCCCTTTCAAATTAAAATAATAAAACGGATAGATACAATCGGGCCCCAAAAAAAAAAAAAAAGAACGGCACGTGTTGTTGTTTTATTCGTTGCAGACGCTAATCAAATAATTTCTCACGTGTTCTAATTTCTCTTCTTTTTTTTATTATTATTATTAATAATATAAGGGTATATTCATATATCAATGAGATTTGTTTTCTCAAAGGTTCAATTTCAAGGAAAAAGAAATATAATATCGAAAAAAAAACACGTGTTTTACGATTTATATCTATTTACCAAGAAAAAACAAACAAACAAAAAATAACACAGAAAAGAAGTGTCGAATGTGTCGATTCGAAAGATCGTTAAAAAAAGAAAGGAAAATTATTTGTTATATTTCAAAAGCGTTATATATACATATAATATGTATATATATATATTGATATTTGGATAAATAAAAAAAAACGAAGACAGACTGGTGCTGCGCTAATATAATAATAACCGGCAAACAACGTAGCGATGTAACGTGTCGGTCGCGCAAAGACTCAAAGTAGAATGACGGCGACTATCTGCCACGATGTGGGAGGCCGTTAACGCGGCTTCTCCCTGCAACTTTTCTCCCCTCCCACCTCCTCTTCCACCTCTTACCACCAACCCTCACCCCCCACTACCGCTACGTTTCCCTTTTTTTTCCTTTCCCCTTTATCCATTTGCCATTGCTTATCCCCACCCAAATAAAAGTTTCATTCCGCTAGCACTCTGGCTTTTTACCCCCACCCCAACGCAACCCGCTATTCTCACCGATTGCCTACGATTCTCTAGTTCCCAAACCGTCACAACATCCCCCCCTTCCCTCCCTGATTCCCCACCTACCCCTCTAACCTATCCCAACCCGTTAACCCTCTTAAACCTAGTCATAGTTACGTAGAGACACGATTATACGAGATATCTCATGGCCAAACTTTACGGGTAAAATTTTACCAACTATTTCTCTCCCACTTTTGCCCCCTCTCCACACTCCACTATTCTATTCTAATGTTGGTTTATCTCTCTCTCTCTCTCTATATATATATATATCTATCTATCTCTCTATCTATCCCTATCTCTCTTTTTTTCTTATTGTTACGTATTTTTCATTCAATTCTTCCCTTTTTTTTTCTTTTCATTCTTCTCTTTTTTTTTTCAAAATATCTCGGCTAACCTTTTGAGATGACTTTTTCTTTTTATATATAAAAAAAACCACCCTTCATACTTTCTCACGATATTTTGTCCATTTATCATCTTATTTCTATCTTAATTGTGTTTTTTGAAAAATAACATCTTAAAATGCTTTTTAAGGGTTTCAAGTTTTTTTCTATTCCCGGAGGGACAAAAGGGAGGATCTTTTAACCCTACCTCGATACCGTAAAGTCTTTTAGTACATATATGTATGTCATGTTTGAATAACTATTTTTATTTAAAATTGTAATCGTAAATAATAATTAAAAAAAATATATATTAAATAATATACTAGAAAACCCTAAAGAGTAATTTTTTAGTAACATTTTTAATAATCTTTCATTTTCTTTAGTACATTAGCTTTTTCCTTTTTTTCTTTGTTTTTACTTTAAAAACTACTACTACGTTTAATTATTAATTTTTAACAAATTTTTTTCAAACAACAATAACATCGAACAAAACTCACCCTAATTTTGTGGCGTTGGTAAAATTCGCCGATAAAATATCGATCGATATGTCGATATCGGCGAACGATTTATAATCAAATTTTTATTGTAAAAGCTGATAAAAATTGCAGCGTTATTGCTAAATTTGTTTTCTAACTTTGAATGATTATATAATGTCACTGAAAAAGCAATAAAGATGAAGTTTTCAATAAGATTTATCGATTTCTTCGATCTATTGACCTTTCACGTCCTTTTTCTGTCAAGGATAAAATTTCGTAACACACGGAATTGATGGAATTTGTAATTCTGAGATTTTTCAAATAGTTTATATATTATATAAATATTAACATATAAAATATTACAATATAATATATTAATAATTTATAAATATATACGGGTGTTCAAATTTATAAATATTTCTATTAAATTTATTGCATTATTTATTATTGAATATTTTCTTGATTTCATAACTTCCTTTTTTTTTCATTTTAATACAAAATATTCAATGTTTTGATAAAGCGCAATAATTATCAATAGTTCAATTCTTAAAATGCAATTTTATTTGATTTTTTTTTTTATAACCTTTTATCGCAAATGCATGAAATTTATTTGTTCTTATCGTTACTATGTTGAAAAGAAATATGTTGATTTATCTCTTTCTCTCCCTCTCTCTCTCTCTCTCTCTCTCTTTCTTTTGCTCTCTTTTTCTTGCATTGATTGATGAAACGAAGAAAATTGTTAAGTTCAAAAATAGATTATTCTCTTAAAAGGGAATAAATAAAAAAGTTAAAAAAATAAATAGATATGATTTATTTTGTAACGTTACTAATGTTGAAAATAAATCTATTGATTTATCTCTCTCTCTCCCTCTCTCTCATTCTCTCTATCTCTCTTTCTCCCTTTTTTCTTTTTCATTGAATGATTAAACGCAGAGAACTATAAAGTTTAAAAATAAATTATTTCGTAAAAGGAAATGAATAGTAAAAAAAAAAAAAAGAAAAAAAAGAAAAAGATATAATTTTTCTTTCGATTACGTATAAACAATTCAATTTATAACATTCTTCTACATGTATGTATATACATTGTTTACTTTAAAGTAAACTCGAGATAAACTATAATGTATATATTGAAATAATTGTTGTTAATTTCTAGTGTTTTTCTTATCACGTAACTTGTTCATGATGAAGATTAATAATATCACGTTTGTATCACGTAATAATATTGAATTACTAGGAAAAGTTTCTCTGTCAATTTGTAGAAAAAATATGAATCAGAACGAATCGTTCGTAACTAATACTCTAATAAAATCTTTTCTTTGGTAAAAATATTTCAAGAAGACTCAACAACAAAAAGAAAAAACAACAAATAAATATTTGTACAAATTAAAAAAGAGAAAAATGTAAATCTTACTTCTCTGATTTCTTTAGAATAAGCAAAAACTTGAAAAAGAAATGCAACATTTATTTTATACGCAATATGACGCGACGTATATCACAAAGTTATGCATTTTGTTTTTAATTTTATTTACAAACGTCAGCATTAAAATTCTGCACGTTATCGCGTAATATTTTACACCCAAAGAAATCCCATGTATAACCATTGTTATTTATCGCAAAAAAAAAAAAAAAAATAAAAAACAATTTGATCGTTAACACTTCGTAAAATTTGTATAAATTTTCATTAAAAAAAATTCAAATCATACCAAATTCAAATAATTTATACAGCAAAAATTGATTTATCAATCTTATAACAAAATATTCAACAATTAAATAATACGAATAATAATAAATTCGTTATCATATGACTGAAAATAATCGATCGAATAATATTTGTGTAATCGAACGAATAAATGTAATCAAATGAAGTGCATAATTTGATAACCAAATATAGAAACTAACCTCTCATTTTGACGATTATTCAATTAATTCCAGTATCTGCGTTGAAAATAAAAAAAAAATAAAAAAAAAAACCTATGTAAGTAATTAAACGGTTAATCTAACATCAGAGATACAACAAATAATCCACGCACATGTATGTACATATTGCGAACAAACAAAAAATTCGATACGTTCATGTTTTAATATTGATCTATCAATCTTATCAATGAAAGAGACCCAAAGATATTAAATGAAGCATCGTTTTTCCTTTTAATTATATATATATAAGAGTAGCAAGTTGTATATAAACCTCGAGTATCATATGATGATATAGGATTCCTTGAATTCGAGTCGAGTCTAATTCTAAAGTGAAAACTTTCCACTCGAATGAAGGAAAGGAAGGAAGGAAAGAAGGAAGGAAGAGATGTTTCGCTAAAGTTTCAGAAGAGTCAGAACAGAAACGCGCAAAATTTATGCTAAATAAGAAACTAGAGAGAGAGAGAGGGAAGAACATGCGTTGGCATGCGATGCCTTATTCTTCTTCATCTTCATCTTGTTCATGCCTTAGTACTATAATCTTCGATTCCACACTACAAATATGGAAAGGCAATATCATGGGAAGGGGTAAAAAGGAAAGTAAAGATGTTCCAATGAATAAAATCAAAGAGAGAGAGAGAGAGAGAGAGAGGAAGATATTCGAACACGATATTCACACAAGAAAAAGATGAAAGAACAAATTGTGACGTAGGGAACGACGCGTCGCGGAACAGGCGCCAAAACAAAAAAAAAAACACATTCCACTTTTCCTTGCCAATATCACCCATATTCCGCCCACACCCAAATGCTCCAGATTCAGTACTCTGCTGTCCCTGTGCTATTTGATGATAAAAATTGTTTCGTAGGCGATCGAATAAGTAAGGCAGACATCTAGTCGCCAAAATTCACATTAAAATCTGCCTCCTATTATACTATGTAACCTTTAAGAAAGGACGACCTTGAAGAAGGAGAAAGAAGCAACTTTTTATCTATAGCATCGTTTTCTTCTTTACTCTCGTTTCCTTTATTTTCATTTTCATTCTTCTCTTTCATTTTGGGACGTCAAGGAAACCGACACCAACTATCAAAGATGAAAGAACGAAAAACCAACGTAGTGTTGTGTGTGTGTGTGTTTGTGTGTGTCTAATAGAAACGTGTGCGCCTTGCAAGCATAAACCGGCAAGAAGGTCCTTCTGGAGGGAAAGAGAAACACATTGAGAGAAGGTGAAGAGTGAGGGTACGAGTAAGGGGAAATAAGGGGAGAATGAGAAAGAAAGAATGAGAGAGAAAAAGATTCCTTGTCCCTAAGAGGGGACCAGACGCATGAGGCCCGCCAACGAACCCTCCTTTGTACAGTACGCTACAAAAGTTTCCTTTTATTCTTTTATATACAACTTTTGGATACGATTCTATCAAAAGTTAACCAATAAGAAGCAAGGACGGATATATTGACTGACTGATTGATTGATTGATTGATTTCTTTATATATTTATTTAACATGCTCAAATTAAATAGTCCCATCCATTTCTATTCCTGTCAATGTTGTTAATTTATTACTGTTTCTCTCTTTTTTTATTTTTTTATTTTTTTTTTTTAAGAGAGAACTATTGTAAAGTAAAATGTTTTTTTTGCCTTCCTTAATTTATACCTTCTTTACACTCTAATTCTTTTTACGTCGTTTTTTGTTTTTTTGTTTTTTTTTGTTTTAGGGCAGTCCAGATTAAAAGTACTTGTCCTTTTTAACGTTAAGTTCATATTCGTGCGAATCTGTAATTGACTTCCGTTTATTGCGAGATGGTAAAATTGCGAGATAATGAACGTTGACGATATCGCGTAATCCTTGTAAATCCCCATGTCTATACAGCATGGAAAGATTTCAGTATGATAAATGAATAATGAACAAATTGGAGAAAGAAAAAAAAAGAGTCAATAAACGTTAAATCCTGGAAATGTTCTTCCTATGTTTGAATAGTTAGCGTCGGTTGTACGTTAATCTGGTTTTTAGGCGCAGTTAAACGAAGCGTCTACAAGACGCCGGCGACTGCGATGGAAATTTCCATTGCAGTTAGCACGTTGTGCGGTGTGATCGTACAGTCCACCATAAAAATTATTCCCCTTTTGATTAAATCTATTCGCTTTTGTTTTTCCTTAAACAAGACCTCTTACAAACTATTGAAGCATTATCAATGTTTCCATGTGTAAAAGTTAACTCATCTTATTTTTCTTCAAATCTTACGCGATGTTACAATTTAAAAAGATTAAATTAACTTCGGCTATTTTTCAATCATTGATCATCGTTATAGCAAAAACTCTGTTGTGACATTTATAGACGTCTTTTTTTTTTATCATTCACATACCATACTAAGAAATACTAACGAAGGATGATTAAACAAACGTATTGCGACAATGCATTATACAAGTTCTTGACTTATTATCAACGTACAATGACGTGTCGCTGTACAATTTTTCCTAAGTATACGCTATTTCATGATTCTAAGCAATACACAGGTTTTTTTTTTAACTTAATTAAACTTAAATAGAAATGGAAATATTATGGAATTCGTGTGACAGTTCTATTTATATAAAATATGATAATATTTTAATACGATTCATTCAGGAATAATGTGTCATTAAAAAAAAACGTTCGTTGGGTAATCGCCAATGAAATAAAAAATAAAAATATGAGCATCACGATGACGCACTGGTACGCTTACGTAATCAAAAATTGTGATATACCATTTAAAAATTTTTCCTCTTATTTTATTTATATAATTTTACTGTCAACAATAAATTCTAATAAAATTATTTATATTAATCGTTCATCAAACGATATTATATATAATAAATTAAGAATAATAAAACGATAAATAAGTTATTTAGCAAATAATTGTAATTATCAAATATCGCGGTTACTTTAGTTAATAGAAATTTCCTGTAGAGAGCGGGGAGTTACACGCTGCAACCAATAAACGTCGAGCGATGTTGTTGATTGCTTGCTACGTGTCATCTTATTCGATAATACAATCAAACTGATTTTTGATTGGCTATTACTTGTATCCGTCTTTATTTTCATACAAACAACCAATGAAAAACCATATTTTACATGAAAATAGAGTTTGTTACTAGAACATTATTTTATAGTAGGTTTTGAATCGAGTCAAAAATCTATTCAGTGGTTTCAATCGGATCTCATCAAGAGTTATTTCTATTATAATCGGATAAAAGAAACTTCATTGACATTTTTCAGTATATCTTTCATTATTATTAAAAATAATTATTCGATGCAATGAAATAAAAATAATTGCATAGCTTAAAATTAATTGAATTAAAATATAGTGAATATTTGTTATTTCATTTAACGTGAATTTATACGTACACGTTGTCACGTTGAAGTTAACTTTCCGAAACAATGTGATCGATTAACGATTTGGGTGAACAAAATATCTGTGAAGATAAATTGTATAATTAAATATTTATCAAAGAAAGAGGTTAATGGTAGTGATATTTGACATAAATCAGAACATTATTTCAAATACGTGATTAATTTGTAATATAAATCATAGCAACTTAGAAAACGCGTTAGTGAAATGTGCTTTCAATATTGTTTAATAAATTCATTAATTAAAAGAAAACTAATTACCGATTAAAGTATTTGAGGTTATTTTTTTGTCTTTTCTTTTCTTGTTCAATACAATATAAAAATATACCGAAGAAAAATAATTAGTTAAAAGTTTGTTTGACAAATAACATGAATTACAACCATCAATTGATGATTGAGAACAAGTTGTTCTGTTTGATTATTTTTAATTTTTTAGAAATACGTATGGACAGTTTAACATTAAAATGTCAACATTAAAATTAAGTATGCAGGAAAAGAAAGACTTGGATAAGTTTATCAAATTTCTGGCATTAAAGGCTGCTCAAATCATCGTACAATCAAGGTGTGGAGAAAAAGCTTATACAAAATGTAAATCAAGTTCTAAAGGAACCGATTGGGTAAGTTTTTATAATTCATATATTCATATCTGATTTATTATGTTTTCATTATCTTTTAATTTAATGTATATTTGTATACGAGCCACTTATTTGTCAAGTCGATCAGCTTTGCTAAACAACAAAATCAAGTATCGAACAACTATCAAGATTGTTCTCGTTTAATATAATTAAATCCATTGTTTATTTGAAATATGTAAAGTTGAATTAATCGTTTTGAATTGTGAACAACTTGCATATGATTCTACGTATAAGATTGTTTAACCTGTTAAGAGAGCTCTTTGCAGTTTTAATTGTTTTTAGTATGAATACTTAAATTCTTATTATTTTCATTACATTTTCTTTATACTTTAATTGTATATACATTTTAAACGTATAATCATCCAACATTGGCGTTCATTGTGTTATACTTTATAATGTTTTAAATTGAAATTGCAAAACTTTGCAATGCAAGTATCTGTACAATGAAAAAGTACATGTTTCAATACAACATAGCTATATCGAAAAGGTTAAACCAGAGTTGGGCCAACCTTTTATATATTATTTGTTATTTTTTCTTTAATAAGAATGTTCAGATGCATCATACAACTCAAGAAATTTGTCTACCTTCTTACGTTCATAATTGGAGTTGGAAAATAGGGATAAGGACAAGATCGGTTTCGTTTAAAGGAGGAATAGGAATAACTCAATTATGCAATTAAATTAATTAACCTTTGCTTACCACACTTGATCCAAAGTACCCAGACCTTTTTTGCTACTTGAATATCATTTTTCTCAATTGTTCAACTTTGGTAATGTTTTAAACATATTTAGATTTCATTTAAAGCTATAAAACCTATATAGTCTTTTTAATTAAGTATTAAAGAAGTGTCAAAAACAATTTTGAAGTAAATCTATGCAATAGTTTTTTTTTTATAAAGATTTTTCTCGGCCGGGTCCAAAGGAACCAGACCTATTTTGCGACCTCATTATTCTCAATTATTCAACTTTGGTAATGTTTTAAACATATTTAGATTTAATTTAAAGCTATAAAACCTATATAGTCTTTTTAAGTAAGTATTAAAGAAGTGTCAAAAACAATTTTGAAGTAAATCTATGCAATAGTTTCTTTTTTATAACGATTTTTCCAAAGGAACCGGATGTGATAAGCGTGTTACTCCAGGAAGGGTGGTAAGCAAAGGTTAATATATACCAGAAAATATGAAGATAAATTCAGTTATTGAGCCTAATTTAAAAAATAAGTAGATGCAAGAATGCAATGTGCCACTTGAAATCATGCACCATAGATTGGCCATCCCTGATTAAATTATATGAATCTGCTTTCTAGAATTTTGTATAGCCATAATTTTGTTTAATATGATTGCCTGTATTCCCATTTTTTCATAGCTACTTGTTTATCTTTTAATTGAACTAGCACTTATATACAAGATGTTTTATAAAAACATGTCAATACTTCAGAAAGTATATCATCAGTTTAGTATTAATCATCTGGGTACTTACGTATTAACGCTACCGCAGCAAAATTCCGCTAATGCGCCAATCTACACTTTAAATTGTTGCGACAAATCATAGAATACAAAACTTGATTTAAAATCAAAACACTTTGAAAATTCAAAACATTTTATTTATAAAAAATAGTCAATCGGATTTCGGTGGAAACCCTGACGAAACCATGACACAACCCTGACGATTGCTGTGTGCAAACAACAAGGTTGTTGTATGCGAGCAACAAGATTGCTCTTTATTGGCGCATTAGCGGAATTGCTGCACATTGCTACGGTGGCGTTAATACGTAAGTACCGATTATCGTAAATAATTTGCATTGTAATTTATATTTAGAAAAAATAAAAAAATTTAACGTTACTTAAATTAAATGATATTTTTCATTGTTCTAAATAAAACAAGTACACAGGTAAAACAATATATTTATTATTAATAACTGATCGATATAGAGTTCCTTATTAATAACTTTTACGAATAGTGAATGCATAAATTTTCCTCATGTTAATCATTATGAATGATGTAAACAACAAACCTTTTATCGATAACTAAAATAAACAACTAAAAATACATTTTCCTCTCTTTGATAATTGTTATGAAATAGAATCTTGCTTATTGATAACCGTTAGGATCAATCAAAACATATTTTTCCCATTGATAATTATTATGGCCAATTGAAATAAATTTCTCTTATCGATAATGTAAATATCAGTAATGAAAAATTTTGTTTGATCATTTGTTAAAAACCATTTTAATTGAAAAAAATCATTATCGTGCTATGAATTGTTCATTGTAATTATAACAATTACGGTTCCTGGTTTTTAATTCATTCATAGGGATGGGTATTTAGAATATTTTTTTTAATCATCTATTATTCGAACCTTAAAGTATATCGGAAATATGTTTATATGACATGTTTTACTTTGTTTTTAGTAAATAAATGTAGATAAAACCTCCAAGTATTGATATGTATTTACGAAACACTCAACCGAGCACAAAAGTGGTCGGTTTGACGTGGAATGCCCTATAGATATCTTACAATTATTATATTACCCCTACTATACATCTCTGAATTTTTGACTGCAAAGAATTTAGATAAATTTATATTATTGAAAAATTATTGTATTGTTTGATGCATATGAGTTGACCCTGTGTGAACGAATAAGTAAAATTGTCATTGATCTACTTTTTTTTGTGTATTATGCATTGTATTGATATACATTAGAATACAATTGTTATAATTTTTGATTGTTAAATAATATAAAAATTGTATATTTGCAATGTATACATAAATATTAATTATTATGTTTCAATGAATATTGATTTAACTTTATAATGCGATAATAAATTAGATGCTTATGTAAATCAATCGTTTATGCTGTTGATATTCATTAAACACAATGTGCGTCATTTAGTCGTAAATGGCTAAACATTTACATACTTTTTATTATAATCTTTTGGATATAAATAATATATTTATATGATATGATGATTTTTAATTGTATAGTTCAATTTAGCCATTCAGGAGCAACCGGATGCTTTAGCAGATGCTAAAAAAGCACTAACCTGTGATATAGCAAGTTCTTCGGTACCACTCTGTATAGAAATATATTTAAAAACTTCAGATAATGATACAATGGTTTTGGAAACATGGTGTTTAAGTGTTCTACCAGAACAAAGTGATCCTACAGTAAGAGTAACGTATACAGTATACAACAGGATGGGTATTTTACTTAAATCGTTACTCTCTGTCACGAGGGTTACTCCAGCTTATAAATTAAGTCGTAAACAATCAAAAGATTCTTATTATATTTATTACAATATTTATATGGGTGAACCTCAACTACATGATTTAGGTATTTAATATTTATACTACGCGTACACTTCATGATTTTGAAATAACGCGATTTGAGAAGACAAAATAAATTCTTCATTTCATTTCATCTTATTTATTTATTTATTTATTTATCTATTTGTTATATATTTTAATTAAAATTATTACTAAGTTGCGAAGAGAGAATAATTGCTAAATATTACTTCTAGTATATTTTATTTAAAATTTGTTATTTTCACTTATAGAATATATTTTTACAGTATGTCTGGTAAACTCTAGGATACCCTTTATATTAATATACACCTACTGTATAACGTTTGTTCAAATGAACTCATGTATATATATATATATATTAATAAATTATTTTAACTCTAGGTGAAAACTACAAGGATGTACGAGTTGGACAACTCAGTACTCCTATTGGTACCATTCATTTATGGGTATTATACAGGACTAAAATGACAATTTCTCCAACCCATACAGGACGAGACTCGATTATGCTCAAGAGTGATCATTTTCATTCAGATTTAAGTCCACGTCATGCCCGTTATCAACAAAAGTATGATATTAATTATTGTTTAATATACATTTTAAATCAGATATATACAAAGATGTAAAAAAAGGGTGTTATATTTAATCCTTTCGCTACTACAGGTGACTACAGTAGCTCTTCATAAAATACCGCATATTTTACATACGACGAACATATGCAATTTTATAGAACATTAAATATTTCATTGTGGGCATGTAATTTTAGTCTTTTGTTTCTTTCGTGCAATGTGCAGTTTTGATGTTGCACATTGCAGCGCGGCTAGTTCAGTAAGAGTACCGTTGCAGAAAACACTCTCGTAGCGAAAGGGTTAATTTGTAAGTTTTTATTATAATTACATATATATAATTAAGTATTAATACGTAATTGCTAAACCGTTCTGTTTTATAATTTCACTACATCTTTGTGGCATAGATTGTATTAACTGAATGCATCTTTCTTTTGATACGGACTTCCAACCATTTTGGATAACGGTGTATAATTCATCTAAATTTGTTGGTTTTTGTTGTTTTACAAATTTATCAACGTCGATCCATAACATTTTGATCGGATTTAAATCCGAAGATTGTGTTGGCCATTTAATTTTTGTAATATTGTATTTTTTTATAAATCGTTTTACTTTGCGAGTGGTGTGTATCGAATCGTTATTAGCTTGATAAATCCAATCATATAAACTATCCTATCTTTAAAGTTGGATGAAACTGCACACAGTGTGCAAAATTTGATTAAAATCGGTTCAGTAGTTTAGGAGTCCATTGCGGACAAACAACGTGACACGTAATTTATATATATTAAGATAAGAAGATATATATATATATATATGTATATGATTCTATATATGCGTATATATATAAAAATATGATTTTTTAGCGAAGAAAAGTCGAAATCTTTGAGCGATACTTTAAAAATGGGAGCATTTGCCGCTAGTAATCCACCTTTGGTTAAAGAAGGAGATTTAGTAATACCAGACGTACCATTTAGTTCTTTGCTAACTCCTCGACAAACATCACCACCACCTGGTCCTCTCGGTGATGCTATGAATACAAAAAACGTAACAACAAGTGTGCCAACAGATGGTAACAATGGTAACAATGAAAAATTGTCAAACGATAATGCAACATCGAAACCTAATTCTCAGAATGAATCTAGAAGAAGTAGTGCACATGATGATTTTATTATGGTAGATTTGGTAATTAAAGTCATTAATAAGTATTTTATTTTACATTTTAAGTAAATCTAATGTTTCTTGAATAAATTTCTTTTAGAAAACACCTTTCGCTATTACTAATACCAAAAGCGATTTGGGAGCTTTTTATCGAGCATGTCAAAGTGCACCTCAGCTTCAAGCATTTATGGAGGAAAGAACATTGGCGGAACAAGTTGGAGATCTTACTAAACAATTGGAAACATTTGAAACAAATATGCAACATTACGAAGACATTTTATCTTCGTTATGTCAAACAGAAAACAATAATTAATTAAACAGATATTCAATGTTTTTCAATACGTAAGAATACAATTTATCATGCACTGATATTTATTAACATTGTTCTCATCAAGTAGTATACATCATCATTATTATTATTTTTATTATTATTATTATWATTAGCAATGGATACCAATTTGCTTGGTGCTCGTGTAATTAATTATTACTCGACGATAAAAAAAAAAAACTAGTAATTGCTTCAAAAGTATGCTGCTTCTATTTTTCTTTTCATTCAAATCCTATAAACTTGATCAAAGTAATCTTTTACAATATAAATTTTGATAAAAATTTCAGTTAAAGCACAATAAATATTGTAACTTAAAGCAATCTAAAGTAGTTCTCTTGATTCTCATAAACATTTAAAAAATAATAATGTTGGAAATAAAGCCTTTTTTGCTTATTGTAAGTAAGTATAATGTATGCTTTGTGTGTGTGTGTGCGTGGGTGTGTGGGTATGCTTTTACACGCATATATTTATATATTTACATATATAAATATAAATCATACGTTAACCCTCTATCAATTCATATTATTTTACGGATATACGCTTATATATTTTGATTTTATATTTTATATTATTTGATCATTAATAAAATTTGTTATTACTTACCTTAGTATTCAGAGTTTTATAATTCTTTAAGTATATCTGTTCGTCCATTTTAAACAGTACATCTTAAAATAATATAATTTAACACTTTAAACGCCACGCCGATTTTTACGGACCGGCGGTAGACTTTTCGTTCTTCTATCGCAGCTCGTCTGTCGGTCCTTGCGTACTTGTGAGACTAAACATTGAAATTATGCGATATCGGTTTGTTTTTTTGGGTCAATGCTTCAAGGAAAAAAATAATAATACTTAAAAACATTAATGTAATTTAGGGCCCGCCTGACGGCTAACTGTGGTGGCTTCAATGGAACGGCACAGAAATTTGGCATGGCGCTTAACGCGTTAAAAAGAAAACTATGTATAAAGTGTATTGTATAAATTGAATGATGAAATCTATTTAAGATTTATATTTAATACGATATTATTATACTATAAATTATAATAATTTTTATATATTTATTATATAATATTACTATTTTTTAAATATGATAAAATATTTAGTTACAGAGGGTTAACTGTCGCTATCCATTATAAATATATATAGGAGCAAATGTGAATATTATCATAATTTATCATTAATAATTGTTAATTAGTATAATTGAAAAAATTACTGTTAATATTATTATTATTATTTATCATCAATAATTGTTAATTAATATAATTGAAAGATTAGAAATTATTTATTGTTTGTATATATTGTAAATTATTATTTAGTACGGTTATTATAACTTTTATTAAATAAAAAAAAGTTACGTTACCTTACGTTTAGAATATTTACACCTATAAAATAATTTACATTTATATCTGAACATACATTAAGGAGGCGGAGGTGGAGGGGGGTAAGATTAATTCGTACAAAAAAAGGCACGTTTTTGTGAATTTTTTGTGACGATACAGTTAAAATCTCTTGATTAAAACCAATGGTACAATTAAGTATGACATTTGAAGAATATTGTATGAAATTTTCACGAAGAAATATTCAAAAATACGGCAATGGCAGCAATTATTCAAACGTGTCTCAGGAAAAGAGTAGAATTGCGGGGCTCCTCATTGGTACTGGGCCCACCCGGGTGCTGGATCATTTGAAATCAAAAAATCAAAGTTCATTCGTTAAATAATAGTTTTTCCCAGGTAACGCTGAGAGGGTTTTTCGAAATTTCAATTTTTCACTTTTTTGGAACACTTTGAAGGGAAAAAGGCGATTTTTTGCGAAAAAAAATCGGCTAAAAAATTGCGCTTTTCCCTTCAAAATGTTTAAAAAAAGTGAAAAATTGCAATTTCAAAAAACCCTCCCAGCGTTATCTGGGGAAAATTATTATCTAACATGAAAATTTGATGCAATATTCTTCGAATGTCATACTTTAATGTACCATTGGTTTTAATCAAGAGATTTTAACTGTATCGTCACAAAAAATTCACAAAAACATGCCTTTTTTTTGTACAAATTAACCTTACCCCTCTCCACCTTAATTAAAGTTCATTAGAAAGTAATGTCTACAGTAGGTGGCAGTGTTGTATTCTCAACAAATACAACATGAGGTTTTTAACCTATACAATAATTATAAATATTCCTATGTTCAGTTTAACATAATAACATTACATTTGGTTAAATACTTTTGAATTTAATCAAGTTGAAATGATTAAAAAAAAAGTAATTATGTATGTGCATGGTAAAAATATAGTTAATATATGAACGATTCAAAAATTCTTTCAAAAGTTTTATTATGAACATTTTAGATTGGTGAATGACAACAAACATTCTGGTTATGCTAATTATTTTAATGATCAAAGTATCAAATAATTTATATCAAATAGGAATAGTTTTTGGATATGATGTTTGGAGATTGCTAATAACTTAATATTATATTTTATTTTTCATATTTAAAATAAATTTTTGTAAGATTATGCTGTCTGCTGACATTATGTTGGTATCATGCGTAAAACAATTGAATAAACGCTAATGATACCACCATAGTACTTTGTTGAACACCAATATTACATGTGTTCTGTTAATAATAAGTTACAAACATATTAGCAAGTTTATTACCTTTGTAAAAACTTGTGTTCTTTGATAATGGCGAGCGAAGGAGAAGAAACGTCTGTACTTTATGACAATTTGTCCAATATTAAAGTTGAATATAATGATTGCGAAGAAACAGAAGACATTAGATCTTCAGACAAACAAAGTGAAGAAGACTCTTCGGATCACTATGAAATACGTAAACGAAAGATTCGGCGAATGTTATCATTGCCAAGTGATACAGAAGAATCAGATGAAGATCACAGTGTAGATTGGTCGTCAGATCATAGTGAAGAATGGTTCGATTTTGATTTATCCAAGATCAAAAACAAATTTGTAGGATCTCCGGGTCCTAGCGTATTGCCCAAAGATATACAGAACATTGAGAATGTCGTGGAATTATTTATAGGAAATGATTTTTTTGAATTTATTAGTACCGAAACGAATAGATATTACAATCAAAATTCCAACAGAAGGAAGCCAGATAATAAAAGTACGAAATTTGTGGACGTTATGCCAACTGAATTAAAAAAATGGTTCGGTCTTATTATTCTTATGGGAATTGTAAAAAAACCAAGGATGGAAGATTATTGGTCGACTAATCCGTTGATGGAAACACCAATATTTCACAAAACTATGTCGCGTAATAGATTTAGACAAATCTTATCATTTTTACATTTTTCTAATGATAATGATAAACCGGATAATGCTGATCGATTCTTCAAGGTACAAACTGTAATTGATTATTTCTCAAAAAAGTTTCAAAAAAATGGTATTCTTGGTCAAGATATTAACAAAATGATACGAATCATTTCCACCGTACGTAATGCCGATTTAATTGACGCTGAAGAAAACTGTAAAAAGAGCAATCGTACTGTTAAAAAATCTAAAAGTGCATTGGAATTTAATAAATACGTAACAGATCATTTTCATAGTTATTATCCTATATACAGGAAAACTATAAAATGGTCAAAAAAAGTGGTCTTTTATCTATTAAATTATGCTTTATACAATGCGTATAAATTGCATCAATGTTACAGTGCAGAATACAAGAGTCTTAGCTTTCATGATTTTTTATTGAAAATATGCACATATTGGATAAAGGATCATTTACCTGCTACTGAAGAGAATTTGGAGGTCAGTACTATATCATCCCGTGTTTCCAATCATTCGATGGACAGACTTTCTGGGCAAATAAAACAACACCAGTTAATACAAATTTCCAAAACAAACAAACGAAAACGAAGAAGGTGCCATGTATGTTACAAAAACAAAAAAATAAGGACAACAAATTTAATGTGCAAGTCTTGTGGAGTTGCATTACACTTGGGTGATTGTTTTGCTTCTTATCATTTAAAAGAGAACTATTAAGTATTCAAGAAAATATAAATAAATAAATAAATAAATATATTATACAACAAAATCTTATACATTTAGAAATATATCTATAAAGTAAATACGTCACCGTCAAATAAAAGTATCATCTACTTGATAAACATTTTTACAGTAACTCTACTTCCAGGGTTTTTTTTTCTTTAATTAAATGATTAACATTTGTTATATCACATCTGAAATAAAAATGAAATATTTTTAATAGTTTTTTTTTTTTACAATTTAGACCTAATCTTTAAAGATTAAATTTTTATGTATCTTAGTAGTAACGTTTATCTGACTGAAATACAGTAGCACTTTATTCCGATAACTTGATCGTAATTTGTATCTATACAAAGATGCTGATAACTCTTTTAACACTATACGTGAGCCGTAACTGTAATCAAAAAAATGTTTATGCATTGAAAATAAAAAAAAAAAAAATATATGGACAATATTTTAGAATTTGTTATAAATAAACAATTTTTTTATATGTACATATAATTATTTAAACATTATTTACATATATTAAAATTTGCATCTTTAGATTTGCAACTGTATATTTTTTTTCGCTTTAGGATACTTGAAGTTTTAAGATGCTTTATTAGTTTATTTACGATTAAATAAAATAATAGAAACTTGTTCATAATTGCGAGTGTATATTTTGAGTAAAAAAATATGTAGGGAAAAGAAAATGGTGTCGTTAAAATGGTAAAAACGTTTTCTTTCGTCGTAATACAAATCGATTTGGAGTAAAAGGAAAAACTCTTAAAGTAGATGATATATTTACTTGATATAATTTTATCTAATTTATTTAGCATTATATGTATATGTATATTGTGAGATTACAAAGATGACAAAGAAAATTTTCAAAAAAAAAAAAAAGAAAAAAAAAACAAGAAAAAATGAAATTAAAATACAATTTTTCTCTCAAAATTTTTAGCATTCGTTTATAAATAGCAGAACGTGAATTAACGTCAGTGGTAAATCCAGGAATAGAGTTTGAAATGTGAATTCACGTCAGCGATCGCGAATGTGTTTAAGATAGATTCTACAAAAAAAGATAATTCTTGGAAACAGATAAGAGGGGGGGGGGAGGCTGTTTCAATATCTTCTTTTATCAGTAAATATACTGTAATTACTTATTAAGTATGCTACGAATGATTTTGTAAATGTAAACCGTTAAAAGTCTATAGTTAACAGTTAACAGACTTATATTTTAAATTCATTGTCAGTAAGAAAAGATTTTTTTTTTATTAAATTTACACTTTTATATCGTAATTTTTTATTTTATTAAGAATTGTTGAGAAACGAGGCATGTTATCCTTTTTTGATTATGCAATTTTACGTAATTCTCTTTTATTTTATCTAATGGTATTAATTAAGGAAGTTCTTTTAATTATTTTAGAGTTTTATTGCTAATGATAAACTTATAAAGAAATTATCTGTTGTCACAAATTTCAGGACGACTAATTTACCCGAAGGTACGGATAATTTCATTCCACCTTTTTCTAAGTTAAGTAAATGCATTTATACAAGATATTTACTTTTTTACATTAGATGATAATTAGAATTTTATAAAACAAATTTATTCGTCTTACTAGCAACTAGCAAATGTCTTATTTTGAAAACACTAATTATTGCAATTTTTTGTAAGCAATCGAAATATAAAGTCAAAATATATCTGAAATTGTTCGTAATTGATAACAAAAGAGACAATTTGAAAGGGGAAAATGTAAAGAGTAAAATAAATTAAACACATTTATTAAAATTATTACATGACCTATTTAAAAAAAATAACAACCATTGCAATTTTTGAAACAATCGAAATACGAAATCACCATTTTTTCGATTGGTTAGCTGTAAATTACCAAAACAGTAAATTTCAAAGAGAAAATGTACAGCGTGTTATTTTTTTGATCCGACAGATGACACTAGGGTCGGCCAATGTGGATGCTTAAAAGGCTTATGAAGGTAAGAGGGCATTGTTGGCAAATGAGCTTTCACTGTGCAGTAAACAACATGGCTGGTTTACTTTCGTGTGCGGGTTATGTCGTTCCCGTCATTTAGTCGACAAGTTTTACAATCTTTGACCAGTGATAACTATTTCTGGTGAGTAAGCACACTTCATTACACGACTAACATTAATTAATATTAAACGTTAAAAAAGTTTAACAAACTTCGACAAAAATAAATTCCCCGATAATACAACTTATAAACTTTTCATTATAATCAGAAACCGTATGTTCGCGTATTTCTCAATTTTTAATAACACAATATTATCATCCAATATTTTATATTATTGCTTAGGTCCCCCCTCAACAAATGTTCATAACGGAAACCTCATTTGTAATTTATTAAATGATATTTTTATTTGACAGCTGGAGTACTATTCGTATCTCAAATACAATATGAAAACTTGCGCGGGACTATGATTAATTAGATTTATATTTATCCAATGTGCCAATTTTTTTTTTTTTTTTTTTTACATGGAACAACATTCGTACCGCTCAACGGTTATCCGTCAACGAGTTCTCCTACTTTCCTCACGTCACCTGCCCCCTTCCTCACCTCTTATTCTCCACCACTATTTTCCTACCGGACACCGTTACCATTATTACCACTCCTTTGAAGCTGCTTTTTATTCTTTTTCTTTTTTCTAATTTTTTTTTTTTTCGAGCAACAGATAGTTGCTGTTTTTTTTTAAGGCAGAATGTGTTTGTGAACGTTGTGTCACCACCGCCCATCCTTCTTCCTTCCTGCCTCTCCTTCCACTTCTTCCTGTTGATTTTTTTCTTTTTCTTTCTTATTTCCTTCTTTACAATCGTCAATGCGAATACGAGTTTTACGTTAAGTCTCTGTGTATAGACTTTCTGTAAACGAACACCTCTCTCACATTAAGGAATCGGCGTGAACGTGGGTGACTCGAGCGATCGGTACGGAAGAAAAATGAACTAAAAACACGTTAGGGGAATATTGTTCTTTACTATCACCCCCCACTCCACCTCACCCCTCCTTCTCTTTATTTGATCTGTCAGTGTGTAAGTTTGTAAATAGGAGTAAATGTTGTGTATGGTGTGTGTTTGTTGTGGGTGTGTGGAGAGTGATACCCTCGTACATTTCATTTATCCCTCTCTCTCCCTTTTACTATTTCTTTCCCCTCACGTCGTTTTGAAAGCGCGTAGATCGAAGAACTGATTGTGAGTTGACATCAGATAATGCACAAGTTAAAGTTACAAGTTACAAGTTTTCTGAATAGCACGCAGCACAATCTTACCTCTCGCATTATTATTTATGTATATGACCAAAATAATAACAACACGTTTTTTGGGATCTCTAGCACTTGAATACTCTATCTGGTGGTTAAATTCAAAATTAGAGTAGATAGGTAGAAATTTTGCTACCCCACGTGGGATCTGTAGCACTTGAATACGTTATCTGGTAGCTACATTCAAAATT